TTTGCTCGATCTTTCAGAAAGCCTTTTGTGGTGTGTTTCGACTTAAAAGGTTATTTGTTTACTTAAGAGTTGCTCTATGATGAAAAGTTTTTTTTTTGAAAAGCATTTCGAATATCTAATCAAAAATTTTTTTGATCTACCAAATTTATGACGTTTTACCGAAATGACTTTTCAGGGTTAGTTACATTGAAAGCCTGATACGTTATTGATCAGAAAGGCTGAATCATCTATAATTATCAGAGTAATATTTTCTCTTGGTGGCACTTATATAATCTCTATTTTTAGGGTCTGGGGTGCTTTTTTGTGTAACTTAAGCCAGACAGGATCATATAAGGTATGCATTCTTTTTTTGGGTACATACCCAATTTTTAGGGTGCATACTCTAAATTTTAGGGTAGGGCAAGCTATACTATAATTGAGCTATATTTATATTTATATATATATTACCAAAATTTTTAAGCAGATATATATTGATATATAGCAGTTAATCAATATATATCAATTAAAGATTAATAATATATATTAATTAACTGCTATATATTGATATATATCACTAATAATAAATAATGATTATTGATATATAATGATTATAATCACTATCGATTAATAACGATTTTATAAAATTCATTAAATTTTTTTAAACTTTAATATTAATTTTCTTGATAACTATTGATCCAAATTAGCTCAAATTTTTATTATATATAGTACATATATTTAACTATAATATAGTAAAATTTTAACTAATTTAAATTACCATAGTACATTGACCAAAGTACCTAGGATCTAATACAATCCAACACAAAAGAAACTTATAAAGTACCTGTGGGTATCTTAATCAGGTATCTTGCATAGAGGGTATTTTGTACAGTCTTATATATATAATGCAGAAATCAATATGTATTAACATGAAAAATGCTATGCAAAATACCTGGGTATTATTCTCGGTTAAAAAAAAAATGCTATACAAAGTATCCGGGTATTTTGAATAGAGGAGTACACAAAAAGAGGGGTACTTTAGTCAGTGTACTATGGTAGTAATTCTTGAGAAATTATTTGTTAATAATAGTTAATTTTTTTAAAAAAATTAACTATCATTAACAAATTATTTCTCAAAAACTACTAATTCAAATTGGCTAAAATTTTACTATATTATAGTTAAATATATGTATTATATATAATAAAAATTTGAGCTAAAATAGATTGATAGTTATTGAGAAAATTAATATTAAAATTTAAAAAAATTTAACAAATTTTTTGTTATATATTGTTAGTAATTACTAATGATAATATCTGACAGGAGGTTGTATATCGATTATAATTTAAAGGATTACTATTGATATATAGTATCTTTAAAATTTTGTTAATATATACCAAACATAAACTGAAATTATTTTTGAAAAAAGTTTGTAATAAAGATCAAGTTCAAAGATAAATATCTAAAAATCTTTATTTTCAATAATATAAAATATTTGTTAATTATATATGATCTATTAGATCAGAAACCTGTTTAATCTTTTTACTTTTTGTTTATCACAAAAACTATATTATTCAATCTGAAGTAATGATTTTTGATATTTCTAATATTCTAATTTATGATTATTTTTGAAATACTATTTAATTATACTAATATAGTCAAACTCCTCTATAGTCATATCTTTGAGATACAAAAAATTATAATTGTAAAAAAATATAACTAATATAGAAGTATTTTTTATATAGTTATAAATAATTGATAAAAATAAATTTGTAATTATACCAATTTTATAACTATAAAGAAGATGACTATAAAGAGATTTGACTATACTATTTTTATTTCCATATTTAATATTATACAAATTATAGTAAATATGTTTATTATCTACAAATTGATAAAAATAACTTAAAAATAGATACTTGTTTTTATACTATTTGGTAAAATATATTTATCTAACTTTTTTGTACTAGTTTTATTACTACTACTATCATTCAAAAAATCTTTATTTGAAAAAAAAATATATCATAAGTAGATAAAGGATTTTGTAAAAGTTCAAGATTTTTAGTAGATATAGATAGTTTAAGATTTTTAGTAAATATGCTGTAAAAAATTCAAGATTTTAGTAAACATAATATAAATAACAGAAACTTATAAAGATAAGCTTTTATTAGATATTTTTATACTTATATATAAACAAATATACTAAAATATTAACAAAAAATATATTGTTGATAAAAAAAATATTTGCAAACAAAAAAATATTTTAAACAAAAGAATAAAAAAATATTAATTAGATTGGAGGTAATTATACTAAAAAAAAATTTACAGATTAAGAAATTTAATATAAAAAAAATTATCACTAAATTAAACAAAGTTTAGACTTGTGATGTTATAGTTTAATATAATTATCCCTTAAACTATAGAGTTTTTTCAAACAAATTTGCCTGAAAAATTATCATAAATATAGTTATAATTTATTTTTTTTAAATTTTAACATATTTAAATAAATTTTTTTTGATAATATTTGAAAATAAGAATTATATTATAGCAGCATTTAATTTTATATTATAAAAAAAAGGTTTTAGTTATTTATAAAATAAAAATAAACCAATATAGAAAAAATTTTTTAATAAAAAAATTATCAACTTATTCTTGACAAACTCTTTAAATATTAATTTTAAAGATATAGTTCTTAAGAGTAGGGTATTTGTTTACTATTTGTTTATGCATAGCATGAAAATAAACCAATCAAAATTTAATAATCTGCAAAATTAACTAATTATAATTGTATATTTGGTTATACATGCATATTTATTTGCACATTGCATAAAAAAAATATATAAACAAATACCCTACCCTTAATATAATAAAAAATAATTTTTTTTGCTTCACTTAAACAAATTATACTAGTATTTTTATTTAATAAAGTGCTACTTGTAGAAATGCAAAATATTAAAATATTCTGCAGTTATTCGCATAATCTAACCAATTATCTACATATATCTACAGACAATATACCACACCAGAAAAGTATAATTAATTAAGATAATATTTTACTAGAAGCTTGTTTAACCACTGTCTACAATAGAATATCACTAATCTGAAGATATTTTCTCATAAAGAAGTGAAAAAAAAACAAAAAAATTTTATAAAAAAATACAGAAATATAAGAAAAAGCATAAAAAAAAACAAATAAAAAATAAAAGGAGTAAGAAAATTACAAAAAAACTAAACTAAAATATAAGATTTTTCACTCATATCAGATGATTACAATTATAAACCTGTATTAGGCTTTATAAAAATTATATATTACTATCTAAACTATTCTTTACACTAATTTATATAATTAATATGTTTAAGCAAAAAACCTTATCTAGAAGAAAAAATTGGCTTTTTTAATATTAGTACTATAGAGAAATTAGAAAATTGTATTGTTGAGCTCAGAGCATTGTTTGTTCAAATTGCCATATTCAAGACATATAATCTACAGGTAGTGATGCAAATAGCTAGCTTCGGCTCAGCTACAGCTTGATATCATGTGAGCTGAGCTGCTTTTTAGCTAAGCTGCTTTTAGCTAAGCCATTCTTTAGTCGAGCTAACAAGAGCCGCAGCTCCAATTTGATTACCATTATCGTTATAAAAAAATATTTTAATTATTTTAGTGAAAATATATACACTGTGCATACCCATATTTTTTATAATTCATAATTTGCAAGCATAAAATTTCTTTATAATTCATAATTTGCAAGCATGTAGAATGTAATACAATATATAGTTAAAAATTTTTTTTTAAAAAAAATATTTTTTGAAAGTAAAAAAAAAAAAACTTTTAAAAAAAACCGTTTTTTAAAAGAAAAAAAAAACTTTAAAAAAATATTCATTTTAAAAAAAATATTCATTTTAAAAAAAATTATTTTTTTAAAAAAAATAAAGCATATTTAAAAAATAAAATCAATCTTTATGAAATTTAACGCCGTGTTCCAACCATGAGCCAGTACACATCAATGATTGTACGCTTTTTTCAGAAAGACGTGCATATTTAGCTCAGATAGTGTCATCTGCCTTCGAGAATATTTGTTCAGAAGGCACTGATATCGCCTGGATTGCAAGAAAATCTTTGGCTATTCATGACATAACTGAAAAACGAAAACTGTTAAGTTTCTACCATTCCAAAGGATTGATGTTCATTGGTAAAGTAGCCTCATTCAAATACTTGGTAAGTTCATCTGTTGGACTGTTTAAGACATTAAGCCGATATTGTTTTTGCACAACTTTTTCAACATATGTTATCGAATTTAATACTTTTCCAGAATTTGAAGTCGTATTAGTAGGCGAATTATTTAATCCAGACTCTGAATACTCCTGAAAAATCTGACTAAAATAATTC